ATCCATCTCTCCAAAAAATAGAGACGGTTTCTTTTTCTCTCCTAAGGAAACGCTTTGGCACAGCATTAGTTTTTCTAAATACTAAATGTTGCATTTGGGCCATGTGAGTGCAATGTGTCTCATCTGATCAGAACACCATATTCTACTTTATTTGTCCACAATCTGAGCTGCAAACAAGACTTCTTCAGGGTTTAATTTTAAACCTCAAGGCCATGTTTGCTGGATGCATTACAAAAACTGCTGCTGTTGAGATTCTCCACCCCGAGCTATTGGATTTCTGCACCTCTTGGCTCCTTCCATGATTAGTGCCCCTCCATTTGTAAAGCTTGGAAACCTGTTTTATAACCCATCATTGACCCTAAACTGTCTGCTGTGTAGTCTTCATGAAACTGTTTGTTCTCCAATGTTCTCTACAAATAAATTACATAAACGTGGACCTCAATTGATTTCTGGGGACATATTTTTTTAACACTAACTAGTAAAATGGGCAGAATAGAAATAAAGGTTACAGCCTTCAGAATTGTATTTGTAAAAATGATAATGGTAATAAAAAAAATATCTAGATTAATTTAGAACTGGGTTTATATTTCAAGTAAAGGCTTTTTTTTATTAAAGGAAAGTAAAATGTTAGCGCTGTGATAAAGAAGAGCATGCCTCAGCAAAATCTGCCACACATCAGAGTTTGGCCTCCCCAAGAGAGCTGCTCTGTTTTTGCTTCCCCCAGCAATAAATCAAAACCTACATGAACCACTGTCCAAGCTTAGCTCCAGGTGATGCAGGTTCACAAAGCTAGTGGAAAGTCTTGAGTTTTAGAGGATCCTCTGACAAACAAAAGAACCATGTGACAGGAAAATAACATGCCTTCAAGATGTGCTATCTAATACCTAGACAGCTAACTTCACTGCAATATTTATTAAAATAATCCAACCTAAACGCATGTTCTATCTGTAGGCACAACCTGAATGGATAGGAACCAATGAAGTCTGAATTAATGCAGGCATTTTCTAAAAAGACTAAAGAAGAACCAGGCAAATAGCCAATAATATAATGTTTAATTTCCTTTTTTAAACCAGTAATAAGGTCTGGGTGTCTTTTAAAGTAATAATTTGTATGATGAATAGTTGAACAGTCTCTGCCTTGTCAAATTCTCCCTCGCTGTCCAATCGTTTCATCAAAACGTAGTGAAGTTAAACTAAAATAAGGAGCATGAGCTTAATAAACATTCAAAGTGGATGACATCGTATAGATATATTCTTAGCAAATTATCATTAATTAATGGAGAAAAGGCAGCTAATGAATCCATGGTCCCAGGCACTCAAATTCAAGTGCTCACAGCTTGTACTTTATCGCCATCATGTGGTTAATTTGCTACTTTGCTACAGAATGTTGTTTATTTTAATAACTAAGAGGTTTCAGCCCCATATTTGTTCAGACTTTAAAAAAAACCTGGATATTAGGCAATAGAGTATGACTCATTTATGACAATAACTTAAATAAGTTGATCCTGCTTCAGATTTTCCTGCACCTAGGTTCGACTTTTGTGTTCACAGTACTATATTTAACAAACACATCAGGCCCATTTTGAGATGGTGGATCATTTTCCACATCTAGCACAAAATCTCCATTTTATAAGGCAGTCAGAGCAGAAGTAAAAAAGGCTGTGCCTGAAATGTCCGCTCTTGTATTTCTTGGCCCTTTATTTTGTCTTTAAAGGTAGCTGTCCCAGGTGATACATTCTGTGGATATAACATATCCTGGACTGTTGTGGTGGGAATGCAGTTTATGACCCTGTTTGTTCAGTTCTGAAAGACTATAAGAAAAAAGTCAATTTAACTTGCTTAATTTATTATAATTAAATAGATTTGGTAATAAGAAAATATGGTTTTAAAATACTAAATGTTAAATTAAGACTCAAGCCATCTTAAATTTGAATTTGTATTTATTATCTTTTTTTAATAAAATAATATAGTCTTATAAAAAAAATAATATAGTCTTACTCCCATTACTTTCCTGGCCACTTAGGGCATTAGTGAATCATTAAAAAAAAAAAAAACGTATTTCTTCCCCGTTTATGATCATTGTTAATTTTACAAAGCTATTCCAAAATCATTTCAAATTTTGAAACATATTTATAATAGATATTGATGCTAATGGTCTTCTATATAATTCTAAGACACACACTTCTTAAATAGTTTCTTTCAATGGCCCATGATTAAAGAAGAAACTTCTAGAAGCTTCCTGATGGGCATTTGCTAATGCTGTAAAACCCCCACCGCCACTTTAGGGAGACCAATCAAATATGGAAAAAATGAATGCTGTTAAAAGTAATGTAATGAATTACATTTTTTTTTAATATTGTATCCTATTAGAGTTATCTATACCAACCAATGTTTAATAATAATAATAGAAAAAACAAACATTATTACCTCTCCCATGATTGCACGGAATTTAGCTTTTGGGCAGTTGACATGTTTCACCCACAGTATTCAAAATTCTTCACAACATGAATCGACTTCAACTATACATTAAACACATGTTTCTTTAGAGACACATTTATTGTTTGGTTTGCTTTTATGTGGGAGTGTTGGCCTAGTGGGTTTGAGCAGTGCGCTTGTGCTCTGAGAAGGTTGCAAGTACCCAATTCGATCCCCACAGCATCCACTCTGGTTCCCTGAGCAAGACCCTTAGCCCCTGATTGCTCACCAGGCGCCGCACAATGGCAGCCCACCGCACCCCAAGGGGACGGGTCAAAGTTATAGCTATCAATTATTTTAAGTCTTCATGATGAAACTATACTAAGCTAAAGTCCATTGATCTGTTATTTTATAGGATTTACTGGAAATTTGTTTGACAAACATGATTTATACAGATGTGGTGTTGGCTTTTATGGAAGCAGACTATTTGCCATACCTATATGACACATCCAGTCAGAAAACCAGATTGCCTGGTCACAAGCCTACAGGGAGTAATTACCTTGCTAAACATCACTCAACATCAACCCCCCTCTCCTTGTTCATTTAAGAAAAACAGATGGTAAAAAAGTATCTACATAGAAAACATAAAATGGTGGTGAACCTTCCGAGGACTAAGCAGCCAACCAGGATTATCCATGAGAGACTCTCAATAGGTCACTCAAGAACCCAATTTTGAAGCCGTGTGGGCCTCAATTGCCACAGGTAATATCAGTGTTTATGATTAAACTAAGAGAACAAGACCGGGTAAAAAATGTCTCACCAATAAAACTCACCAATAAAGAAAGTAAGAAAAAAGGTCTGTAATTGTTTGCCACAACAGTGCCCCCCCCCCCCCCCACACTCTGAAAAAGTCTACAAAGATTTAAATATATAATGTGAAAGCTGCAGGGAAATCCAGTTAAAGTAAACCAGGCAACAGGGACGGAGCTAGATGGGGGGCCAGGGGTGGCCACCCTTAGCCAATCATTGGCCACCCCTGTGGCCATCCCTAGCATTTTTCCCCCTCTAATAAAGACAATGGCAACAGTAATACTCTCAAGTGAATTATTCAAAACATTTTTTTTGTGGTTAATTATACACACCAATATACTAACATAAGAGATGATAAGTACAAAATTCATGCTCTTTTCAGAACTAGATTTTGTGTTATATGGGGTAAAGAGAAAATTATGTGTCTCTGGAAGTCATCTAGAGCCTTCAGTTAAATCAAAGATAAATAAAAATGTTAATAAAAACTTATCAAATAATCAATTTATGTAGATATTAGTGCTTGTCAATATCAATCTTATGCAGAACTTTTATTGATACAAGTAGTTTTATCCATTATGCCTTTTATTTAGAAATTACGGATGTTTAAATACCGGTAAATACGTGTGCATTGGTTATTGCCTGGCCACCCTTATAAAAAATTTCTGGCTACGCCTCTGCCAGGCAACTATTAAAACAGGAGAAATCAAGTCTTTTTTTTTTTTTTTTTTGAAAGGGGGGGATGGTTTAAGTTTATTTGCATGCATGAGAAACCAGAGGGGTTATCCTTCAGTTTAGTTGCCTGTGCCTTAGCAAAAAGTAGTACACTCGAAGTAAATTCTATTGAGAATACTTAAGTATAAGTATAAGTTTAGAAAGTATACTGAACAATGTACATGACGTATTACTAAAGTAATATTTCTTCAAACTAAACTGGGACATTTTTAAGTTTAGTAAAGTATACTTTAGTAATCAATAAAGTAAACTATACTATTGTTAAGTATATGAAATATAGTTTAGATTAAGTAAACTCTAAGTGCACTGCCTGATTTTAAGTATGAAATTAGTGCACTTTTAGTATACTTGAATAAACTACTTTTTGCTAAGGGGTAGTTTAATAAACCATGTATCCTATTTATGTTTTATTTTAACAAACAAATAAAAACTGCAATTCATTCCAAATGTATTTACCATACAGACAGCAGATCTTGTTTTCTAGAAAGATCTGCATTTGTTCTGGAACAGGCCTATTCTACCCTGGTAGTTGCTTTTGAATTTCTTGTTAACTCAACATATGACGCGTGTTTTACTTCAGGGCCGTTTGGAAAGTTGCAGTTTAGCTTCTTTAAGGTTAAAATTTGCCAAAGTGACGCGCATCCCCCTTTTGACTGTTGACAAAAAGACGAGCCCTACGTGCAAAACTTGCCTCGCTTGGCTTTTCACAACAATTGATTCATCAGCTGCTTGTTTCATCGTGTGTTTTTACTGTCTCGCTCGGTGTAGCAATGTTTCTGTGTTGCAGAATCTAAAGTAAGCAGCAATCATATATTTGCTTTGTAACGCTGATTAACTCCCAACTAATATGTGATTAAGAGTTACTCATGAAAATGAGTTTGGAGGGGGTCGTTTGCTTCTCAGCTGTGGGGGAAGGTGTCACAAAGGGATAACAAATGTACCCGGGCAGACTAGGGCGTTGAGGACGTGAGCTAAAATCTGATTGGCTGTGAAAACAGTTGGGCGGGGCTTACTTCAGGAGGTATTTAAAGCTTTGTCCCATTGTTTGAGAGAGTGTTTTCCAGCTGATCCAACTCAGGAGCAGGAGAGGGACCAACTGTGAGAGTGACCACCGCACTTTTTTTAATGCTTTTTGAGTGCAATCCAAGCGCCGCACTTTTTTTTTCTCATAGAAATAAGGCATTTGTTTTATAAATGTCTTTTTCTTGCAACCAATCCCTGGATGGCAGTTTTCCTCCGTCTCCAGCGGAGGACGGGGTCTCCCAGAGGCTGTCCTGGAGCAATCTGTTGCAGAGGCTCACTGAGCTGAAAGGGATCAACCAGAGGGCCTCTGCAGATCAGGATTACAGGAGTGAATCTGGTGAGTGGGTTTTTTTTATTTTATTTTTTTACAGTCTATGAAAATATGAAGTTGCATATTTAGACCATATTTTTATGCTTTTATATGTTTGTTCCAGGATCTGTGGCAGACTTATCACTGTCAGAGTCAGAGAATAGCTTCTGTTTCCCCCTTGAGGAGACCCTGGCTGCAGAGGTGGTGTCCACAATCACACAAAGCCTTAACAATGCATCATCCATCCTGTGCTGCTCCAAACTCATCATCCCCGACTGTTTGATACACAACATAAGCCAAGAGCTGCTCCATCTGGCCGTCAATGAACCCTGTGGACTGAGGGGAGCCGTGATAGACCTGTGCGTGGACAGGAGCGACCAGGGCCTGCTGTGCACTGTGGATCAAATAGCAGTGGATCCCACCCTGGTCCCGACTTTTCATGTGACTCTGGTGCTGAGGCTGGAGTCTGGAGGACTCTGGCCTAAAGTTCAGAAGCTCTTCAAAGGAGGCAAGCCTCCATCTGCCATGTCTCCAAGGCACCACAGAAACCTGAGGCTGAGCAGCAGCTTCAGGGCCATCAGGAGGAAACTCTACACTTCAGGAGAACTGTTAATTGAAGAGTGCTGCTAACTCCTGCCATACCAATGTGTCTTATTAGATCAACCAGACTTTTTTTATTTTACACCTACCTGTACTGTATATTCATTTAGAAAAGAAATAAGGTCCTAACACATTTGTAATATGTGGTAGATCAAAGGACCAAACTCTTTATCTTATGGCAGCTAGTCACCTGATTGCAGGTGACTGAAGACTAGTGAACATAAATCTTTTATATGAATGTGGATGTCCACGTTTTAAAGGGAATGTAGTATGAAATATTACCGCCGGAAACGGTTTTGTATCTTAAAGAGAATAAATTATTTTTATTAATGTTTGATGTCTTGTTTATTGTTCATACATATGCTGTTAGGAATGAGTTTTCCTTTGTTCCTTATTCAACTCAGCCTTCAAGGACCCCCATCTCATCAGGGGGTCTGTAAAAGTGTCACATTCTGGAAGGATCTAAAACCTTTTGACCTATTACAATAGAAGTTATCTATTTAAAGCTGTATGGATCAACCCTCTGGGGTTGAACTAACTCATATCAGCTCATTTCACACACAAAATCAAAAGCAAACACTGTGTAAATGAGTTTAACTCCAGTCAATCATTGGACAACTTTTATTCAAATGTATACAATTTCAGCTTGTTAATTTAATAAATATGCTTTACTTTAATCTGTGCAACATTTTATACTAGTTATGATCCAACAGGCTACAAGCAAATTCACAAAACAATTTTGTAAAGGACTACCCTCCCCTGCACTGTTAGGTAAAATGAGTATTTACATTGGTAAGAACTATAAAAATTACACACTGCCCCCTTCTCGAGTGGCTCAGACTGTCTTGTCTATGAGAAAGGCCTTCAGGTTTCTAATCAAAACATCAGGGCAGAGGAAACTAATTTCAGCAGTCGTCTTTATCATTCCAAAAGATGATAACTCGGTAGCTTTCCACCATGATGTCCGTCAGCACTGGTTAAAACAGGAGAGGAAGTAAAATGTCAGCAGGCAGCTCAAAGCTTCTCGCAGCTCTGCAGGAAGTGAATCGAGCTGTGGAGAGGTCCCCTGAAGAGGCCCCTCTGCACACTGAGTGTAAGGCTTGTTTAGATTCTCTTGGTTTGCTGCAGAAATATGCTCCAATTACAGAGGGCTCAGATTGATTTCTTCCCATTAGATTCAAGGACCGACGGAACTAAAAGAAAAAAAAAAAACAAATACACAAGGAATAGTTAGATATTTTGTTACAGTAACAGCAATGTTCTCTATAAGCGTTAAAAGACAAAAAAAAAAAAGATATCTTTTAGCACTATTTTTTCCTTAAACTCAGCTTTCCAATTACACAGTACTTCTTGCAACTCCTCAACAGATATCAATATGAAGAATTTTATGCAAAATATATATAATATCCGGGTCAAAGATTTTTTTTAAAGTAAAAATAAAATGCTAAATGTTTGTTTTTTTGTTGCATTTGATAGATAATTTTATTTCTTTTAGATGTTTTACTATAATTATTTCAAGGTACCCGTGGCTGATTTAACAAGGTAGAATTCCACTTTACATTTACAATTAGCAAGACACTAAACTATTATGGGTCTGTAAACAAATCTACGATAAATGAAGCATTGATATCTTAAAAAATAACAATCAACTCTTTCCCAAGTACCTAACCCTTGCGTAAGATAGGCAATCAATAAGAATGACGTATCAGACGACGTCTGTCCTTTGAAAAACAAAGCTGACATCAATATCTAGAGTGGACTGCTTGCTGCTGAGTTTACCAAGGTTCTCACCAGGGCTCATCAACATTGTTCCAGTTATGCTGAAATTAGGCCAATACCCCCGTTTTTTTTTAACAAACATATCAGCCCTTAAACTGACACCTGGACTCGCATTTAAGTGCAACAACTGCTTACGCTGATGCTGTTCAAAATTAGGCCGATGTCCTGAATTTTAATGAGAGTAGCAGTTGCTGAAATTTGTTTTTAAAAATATTGTGGGTCAACATGACATATCACAGGGTAAATCGAATAGTTTCTTATAGGTGAGATATGAACATCAACTCCAAATATGAAAAAGAAAAAAGAACAAACTTATTAGAAGTAGGCCTAACTAGCAAAGAGGCAGCAGAGATTTTCTTTAATTGCTTCGTTTTAGCATCTGGCAAGAACCCAGTTCAGACAGAGTAAAGGGATATTATAGCCAATTGAGATGGAAACGATAAGGAGAGTCATATTTAAGATGAAAAAGCTTCTAAATGTATAGAAGGCTTGGAAAATAAACATTTGAACAAAAACGACACCATTCATATGAACGTACCCATGAGTTTGCAAGTGTTTTCTAGCCATCCAGTATGACCTGAATCTCTGAAAGTCTGGAGCAGCTGGGGGTCCCCATTCTTTGAGCCTTTTGGTACAACTCAGAATCTCCAAAGTACCGAGCACGATACATCAAACCTTCCTCTGGAAGGATGACAAAAAGAAAAAAAGTGTGTCAAAAATACAAGCAGGCTAATAAACTAAATATCATCAAATGCTGTGAACTTTACTGGAGCTTTTCTACCTGGAAACATTTGTAGTCCAACCATATGCTATATTCATGCCACGAAAAAAGGTGGTGTTTGCTAATTTTCAAGTTAGCAAAGTGGTAAAAGGTTATCTAAATAGTGTTTTTTTTTTCTCCTCTCTTCATTCTTGGGGTTTGAACCAACTCATATCAGCTCCGTACTGTAGACTCCGTACTTGTCCGTACTGTAAGCCGCTACTTTTCCCATGTAGCTTATAAAAATGTGTGAATTTTCTGTGGATTTATTCCTAACCACCAGAGAGGAAAGTCAAAGTTGGAAATGAAAGAATAAGGGACTAATTTTCATTTAGCACAAGAACATGCTAGCACCAGTCACAGGGGGGCTTATATCCCGGAGGGTCTTATATATGTACATTTCCAGTAAAAAAAAAATTATATCCACGGTTTTTAGTGAGGTGCGCCCTATAGTCCAGAAAATACAGTATTGACTACATAGCTGTGAAACTGTGTTTGCCCTTAGACCAATTTTCTCAGTTTTATTTGTCTGGTTTTCAGTTTGTGACTTTAAGCTTAAGTTTTTTTTCTCCAAGCATATTTTTCTTAATAGAATATAAAAGTTTACACATTAAGCACCAATACAGCCTTAAACTCTGTCAGGAAGTATTTGAAAGAATCTCCACTTTCCATCCCAGCCTCATTAGAGAACAGCTTAGTAAATATGTTAACCTGGGGAAGGCAAAAGTTAATATTAACTGAGCCCTTAGACTTACTCTGCTGCTTCTCCTTCCAACAATTGTTTCTTAGATTAGAGATATAGTCTTCTTCTACGCTTCTTTCAACATTTTTCAAGTTATTGCCCGTAAATTCTTCATTAAAACGGTCCGCCACATAGAAAGGCACCTTTAGGTGTGACGTATGCCTTTTGTGAATATGTCCAGCTGATCTGAAATGGAGACAAGGAAAGGTCAGAAGGATGTTCAAGTGCTTTACATTTGAGTAATGTAACCATATGGCCAGGCCCGGTTCCCACCACCACTTACGGACGATAGCTAAGGCTGTAAGGAGGCTGGTTGACCATCAGCTGGCTGAGAGCAGAAACAATGATGAGAATTAAGATGGGCATCAGCTGGACCAGCAGAGCAAACCCTCCCTAAATAGAGGTGATAAAAACAAATAATACCATCAGTCCATTGGAACTCATTAGAACCAAATTCGTTTTAAAACCACAAACAATCTCGGATCCATCTTACATCTCTCTGCTGCTCTCGTCTTTCTTGTCTATTCTGGTGTGCAAAATGCATTCTTCCATTCCTGTAAACGTGGACGTTACCTGAAAGATACACGAGAAACATCAGAAAACAAAAACATAATGTTTTATCACGGTTTTCTGTAAAACTCTTCATTTTAACAGAGTTAAACTCGGGACACTGGTTTTAGTTGATTACCAGGCAGTACCTGTTTTGCATATTTCTGTAAATAGAGAACAATCTATACATTTATTCTACCCACAGCAGAACTGAAGGCCCAACGTACCTATAATGCTTCTGCATTTCACGCTAAATGTCCCAACAAAAGATCAATATTACAGTGAAATTGTACAGAATATAGAAAACGTAGCACCTTAATAAAACCATTTAAAGGACAAATAATCAAACAGTTACACACCTACTGTGCTATCCAGAGAAATGTAGATTGTAAAGGACAAAAAAGTGCTTTATAAAGCTAACAGTGACATGGTATTTTCTTACAAGATGTCAGCACATATTTTATCAGCCACTTAGAAAACGGCTGACATATTCAGATCTCCTTGCTCTATATGCAAATCAGCAAACCATCATGCAACATAACCAGCAGAGCTCCAGCAAATCAATAAGTCTGGGGCTATTTCACTAACATTCTGAACTCCAGCGATTTCAGCAAGTAGTACTAGTAAAAACCTTTACTGATTTTCATTGCTATGATGGAAGCTTTACATGCACCAAAAAGTCTCCAAAATTTTTTTTCCAGCAGTCTCTGAACTTTTTTATTCTGAAATATTTCCTGGAAGAGGAGCCAGTATGAAAAACAAATAACTTTTTAATCAAAAATATTTATGTCACCTAATGTGGCGCAGGGCTGAAGCGATTAACTGGATTAATCGTGATTAATTGATTATTGAAATAATTGTCAAGTAATTTAGTAATCGATTAATCGTTAACTTGAGTATAGAGTCTCTATACCAGATGAAAGTGCGCATTCAGCTCGGCAAAGAACTCATGCTCTTCCTCAACACTGAAGTCCTCAGACATTTTTCTTTCGTTGTTTCTTTCTTTGCACAGGTAAACAGCACATTCCTTCTTCTACGCTTGCATTATTGGCAGAGCAGACGCTGAATGCGCACTTTCATCTGGTTTGGTCTGCCGTGGTTTCCGTAGCGTCGTGAACGCGCAGGCGCGCGCTTTTAGGAAATCCTATACGCTACTGTTTAGGCTCTAAAAACATTCTAAATGACTTCGTTTCGAGTAAATTCTGGATGCTACCCACTCAGGACACTTGGAATACATTGGACGAGCAGTATGGAGGAATATTGACACGTTTTTTGTGGACTTTTATGGACCTTTCTGTCTCGGGCGCCATAGACCTCCATTATTTGAATGTCAGCAGACAGAAAGAAGCCTCCCAGATCTCCAGATGCATTTGAGATATCAAAAAAGTACTCCAGAGTGTTGTTCAGCATGGGGGTGAGTAGAAAATGAAGGCTAATCATGTTTTGGGTGTACTATTCCTTTAAGTGGAAAAGTTTTTGTTTCAGCTGGTTTAATTTAGTTA